ATCACAACTTTTGGTTATACATCGACAACCATGGCAACATGTATTGATTATATTTTCTTGTCACGCCCCAAAAATTCTAACACAAGAACCCTTGTCTTATATTAAAATCTGGTACGTAACTCACATAATTCATCCACAATAATCCACGAGTAAATCAATAAGAATAAATTTTATTTTAAAAACTTCATCAAATCCAAAGGAAATCTATTACATCCACCAACAAATTAAACATTCACCAACTAAGTGAACCTTATTACAATATGTTTGCTAAGAAACAATAATAAAACTAATATGTGGAAAATCCAGAAAATCTCTATCTCCAATTGAGCCTCCTTTGCAAGCTAAATCCATGTGCACTTGAAAGTGATAAAAGGGTGAGATCACAAGCTTAACAAGAAATTGTTAAACACTATCATCGTTCAATAAGTCAATCATTACTTAAAATCTATATATACATATATAAGTAACCACGAAAAATCTACAATTATGAAACTAACTAATAATTAAATTGACTCAACTCCATTTGTGCCAACTACGATGTCCTTCAATAACATTAACCTAAATTGAGAACTTGTAACCCATCTAATTATAAATTACTAAAATTCCACTTACCTCACATGAAACCCTGGCTCCCCTCAACCAATTGGCGTTCTATTACCATTACCTCACATGAGCCCCTGGCTCCACTCCAATTAAATGGTGTGAATTGCATAGTTCCAGACTACCAACTACACACATGTAGCTGGGTTGTATGTCTACTTGCCCAGATGGCCCCTGACCACATCCATATGCTAAGGGCACCTTTAGCCTAATGGCCATAACAAAAGAGTAATTCACTCCTATAGACAATCCCTGACTGCGCTCAACAAACTCATCATTGGGTAAGTCCTAGACTACCGCTCCAACTAGTTTAATCATTTCAATTAAATACTAAATACATTTAAATAATTCTTACTCATAATTGTTGAGAGTTTGTGTGCAGCGGAATGGTTGTGGAATATGATATGGATAGATAACCTAGAGGTGTGGTGAATAGATATAACTTGCTCTTTTATCCAATTTTTACTTATTTTAATTTTACCGAAATAAAACTAAAATCAAACCACAAAGCAAAAATAAAGTGCAAGTAAAGTAAATATAGTTTGAGAGATGACACCAGGATTTTAGCGAGGAAACCCCAATTGGTAGAATAGACCAATTGTAATAGGAAAAACCTCGTTGGACTAAGCAGTCCTGAGATAAACGGTCCACTATATTTGAAGCAAATTATACCAAACTTTGACTCAGTCTCACACCCTATCGTTCTACCAAAAACCAATCGCTGACAATCCCTGGATTTGTGACTCACCCGTCCAATAGCTCTCAACCTCAAGCTTACTCTTGATCTCTGTAGGAGAGTTGCAGGTAGATCAAACAACACTCCACAAATGCTTTGACCCCTTCAAAGTGTGATCGTTTCACCCTTTTTTTTTCTAGATCTGAATTTGACGAAGAACGAATGAATTCTGCTTTTTCAAAATTACTGAATCTTCGATTATGCTCCAATTCCGATGAGATAGAGAACAACACTACTAAATCACTGTTGTGTTTATGTGTGTGCTCTCAAAAACAAAATCAGAAAAATCAGATTGATTTTCTGAATAAAAATATCTCTCAAAGATGACTTTCTAATAGATCTAAATTTTGTACGCCAAAATCCGTATCTCAACCTAAATGACTATCAGGGTTATATAGAGTTTAGAATATCCTAGTCCCTCTGAAAATATAGAAAATTTCGTGCATAGGACTCTGAAAGAAGTTTGGTCCAAAAAGAATCAAAACGGATAAGGAAATTAAAGTTCTATACTGATCAGGACTTTTTGAACTGGTACTTGGATTGGGTACCCGTTCAGGATAAACAGAACCTATTCTGACGTACTTTGGCTACTATTTCAGTCTTTGGCTACCGGTACCAAGTAGTTCCTACCGGTTCCAAATGGACAGAAGTGAATCCTTCATTTGGCTACCAGTACCAAAAGGACATAAGTAATACTAGATTTAGGCTACCAGTACCAAAAGGACAAAATGTAAATTTCCTTAACACTTCAAACTTCTAAAACTTCCTAAAGTGTTTTCACTCACTCACATACCTTTCTAAAGCATTGTTCTCATCATCTCAGAGTGTAGTAACCCATGAACAGTTGAACTTCTTCAAATCTGCATCCGATCTTTAACCTTGAAAACCGAACATTTACAACTAGATCGGACTTGTTTTGACAACGAAATTAACTAATATACAAAATATATATTTTTCACAATCTCTTCAAAATATATATCTCACAATAATATCATGAATTTATCAAAAGCCTTAATTAATAATTAAATAATTAACTAATAAATAAGAACATACCAATACTAACTCATAGTCCTAGTTACAATAAGCTGCAAACTTATACTTTAAAATTCAATCTCAACATCATTCAAATTATTTTGCCATCAACTGCACTCAACTTCCTCAATACCAAGGATATAATAAAGATAATCACTAATAACAATTCAGGTTTTTGTACTGGAACTTTCCATTCTTTAACTCAGACTCATAAACCAGGACTTACACATACCCAACAATCTCCAAGTCCATGATCTACACAAAGTGCTTAAAATCGAATCCCAATTGACTTTAAACTATACCATATTCATGGCTTTCATAGATGGGTCATCCATATCAATGAATTATTGGACCTTAGATCTAGCCAGGGGCGGAGCCAGGATTTTAATTCAGAGGGGGCGCAGTGTAAAAATATATATATATATATAATTTAAATAAGAAGAAGAAAAAAATACATACTATATACATCATTCTTAAGTGCAAAAAGAAAAATGTTTAAGAAGTAGGGGGCCAAAAAAAAATTAAGAAGAAGAAGAAGAAAAAGGGAAGAAAAATGAGAAATTTGAAAGGAAAAAAATATATATAGAGAGTTTGAGTACAGAAGGAAAATTTAACTTTTTTTAAGGAAATCAAAGGAATATTAAGAGCAAAAGAAAAAGGAAAGAAAAATTTAAAAGATAATTTTAGAAATTTAAAATTTTAGGGGGGGCATTATATAGAAATTTCCTTATAAATATACAAATTAAAATAAAAATTACTATATTTTATAGTAGGCGGGGCCAGGTCAGGAGGGGCGTGTGCCCCCTCTGGGCACACACTAGCTCCGCCACTGGATCTAGCTATATATCTATACGAATGGAATAACTTTGATAACAGAACTCATATTCATTTCATATGCTAAGGGCGGTGGATTGATTTAGGCTAGTGGTTAAGCAATATGCTAAGAAGGCAAGGCTGTAATGATAATGGGCGCAGGGCAAAGTCAAGCAAGAAAAGAAAAGGATTAACCAAGTAGCAAGGGCAAACAATAAGTGATTACATTTCTCCTATCCAAATCATAATATATATATATATATATATATATATATATATATATGGACGGTTTGAGAGTATATATTTCTTTTTTTGAGCTGATACAAGGAAATCATATATAATGTATATATATATATATTATACATGATTTCCTATAATAGTAAAAGATCAATTGAATCATATGCTTATGCAGCCTTTACTACAACCAACATCCTAGCTAAGTATACATGGATACACGTAGTTATATAAAGGTACATAAATCCTTTCATGCTTAAATAGTACTCAAGATCTAATAGGCACAATCAACATTTCTAATAAGAATTAATTAAACCTAATATTAACAATAGATAGCAGATCACATAATATTATAAACAATAGGACAAAACAAGAATTAACTTGCCTGCAGATACACTATTCTCTTGAGCAGATACTGTCTTTACAATATCAATGAAAAATCCTTAAAATAGCTTGTAGATGCAGTAAAGCACTAATGCCTGTTAATTTCTATTGAGATACGATAGATAGATATATGCCTAGTGGTTTAGTTCATAAAGAACTCTTCTAAACTTTTAAAATACTGGATAATAGTTTAATTATCTAACTTAAAGATACGTTGAAAAAAAACTCCTCTAATATTTCCAATAAACAAATCTAATGACAAATGTGTGTGTGTGTATTTTTTTTTCACGAGTATTACATTCTACCTTCCTCAAAAGAAATTTCGTCCTCGAAATTTATGTACTTTCATTTATGGTCCTGAGACTCCGCCTTAGGATCTTCTTCACTTTTCATTTCTTTGAGAGGAACTGGGTTTGCATTGGGTCCGCAAAATGGAGGCCAATCTCGTACGCAAGAAACCTTTCTCTGTTTGTACTTTGGGATAACACCTATTGGAACAGAACTTTTGATATCCATTCTTGCCTTTTGAGTTCAGCCTCGCATATAAGCCGATAAATTATCCTTTTGCTTCTGTTGGTCCTCATTAATTTTATTTCCAGTCATCCTGATTCTAAAATGCAATCAGATATAATAAAATAAAAGTCGTCTAACTTTTTCGGTCATAAAATAATGGCAACCATCCAATAATAATCAATGAATTTACAACATTTATAAATCCAAATTTATTCATGTCAAATGCGAAGAACAACCCATATGTTCAAAGAAAATAATGCTTAACAATCATTAATAAGTAACCCTAAACCTCTACTTTATTCTTATGCAAATAGCTAAAGAAAAAAAAATCATAATAATAATTTCCCACTTCTTCATTCATAATCTCTTCCTCCTACTTCTGCGTTTCCATTTCACCTGTCTTAGAACTCTTATGTGGCTTTTGACGAAACCTTGCCATATGTCTGCTCTCTAAACAATTATATAACATTTCCCCCAGAATTTATATGGCTCCTATCCGGTTTTTGTTGGCCCCACTGATTTGATTTGTCCAGAACCTTTAATCTTTTGTTACTTTTATTTCTGCTCATTTTGTTCGTCTCTTGTACCTTATTGGCTACGTTGGAATTGATCACTCTTACTTCCTTGAGCTTCTTGGAAAATACCTTTTTCATTTTCCTTTCTTTTCTGACTGTTGCTCCTTTTATTCTCAAAAAAAAATATTGTTGTTATTTTCTTCAATTGCCATGGCACATTCCACAACTTTTGCATAAGTGTCATACCTATACCCAACTACCAATCTTTTGACATGGGAGATCAAACCCCACTCAAACTTTCGAATCCTATGTTCCTCATTAGCCACTATGTGAGGAACAAATCGAGAGAATTCTATAAACTTTGTCTCGTAGTCACTAACCGTCATTGTGTTGCTCTGTTTTAATTCCATGAATTCAATCGCCTTCTTTTCTCTCATGGACCGTGGAAAATGTTTTTCATAGAACCGTGTCTTAAATTCTTCCCAAGTCATAGAGGTTATATCTATAGTAGTCCTAGTCATAGTCTGCCACCATTGGCGTGCCACACCCAATAAGAAAAATGCAGCTATCATCATTTTCTGCATTTCAGTGCAGTCCATCATCTCAAAATACTTTTCTATGTCATCGATCCAATTTTTAGCATCAAGTAGATCGGAAGCTTTAACAAACTCAATAGTTCGTAATTTGCGTATGTCCCTTTTGTATGTAGCTATGGGAACTTGTTCTACATTAGGATTTGGCATTTGAAGTGCCTCGTCCATCTGAGCTATGCCGCGGCCTGTACCGCCTTGAACGGCATCTCCCTGACCTCTGCCTCTAGTAGGTCGTCCTCAGCCTCTACCAGCTCCCGACAACCTATTTAATGAAGAATGATATAATCATTAGTCTTAAATATTAATCATACCTAAGATAGAGCATGCTACGAAAGCAGATAATTTACGCATTCCACAACACATTTTATATCTTAAATCCTATCTTTACAACATTCCCTTCACCCAAGTATTCTTAAACCTAGGCTTTGATACCAAACTGTCACGCCCCAAAAATTCTAACACAAGAACCCTTGTCTTATACTAAAATCTAGTATGTAACTCATCTAATTCATCCACAATAATCCACGAGTAAATCAGCAAGAATAAATTTTATTTAAAAAATCCATCAATCCAAAGGAAACCTATTACATCCACCAACAAATTAAACATTCACCAACTAAGTGAACCTTATTAAAATATGTTTGCTAAGAAACAATAATAAAATCAATATGTGAAAAATTCGCAAAATCTCCATCTCCAATTGAGCCTCCTTTGCAAGCTAAATCCATATGCACCTAAAAGTGATAAAGGGGTGAGATCATAAGCAGAACAAGAAATTGTTAAACACTATCATCGTTCAATAAGTCAATCCTTACTTAAAATATATATATATATATATACACACACACACACACACACACACACACACACACAAATATATGTAACCACGAAATATCTACAGTCATCAAACTAACTAATAATTAAATTGACTCAACTTCATTTGTGCTAACTATGATGTCCTTCGATAACATTAACCCAAATTGAGAACTTGTAACCCATCTAATTATAAATTACTAAAATTCCACTTACCTCACATGAGCCCTTGGCTCCCCTCAACCATTTGGCGTTCTATTGTCATTACCTCATATGAGCCCCTGGCTCCACTCCAATTAAATGATGTGAATTGAATAATCCTGAACTACCAACTATACACATGTGGTTGGGTTGTACGTCTATTTACCCAGATGGCCCTTGACCACGTCCACATACTAAGGGCACTTTTAACCCAATGGCCATAACAAAAGAGTAATTCACTCTTATAAATAGTCCCTGATTGTGCTTAACAAACTCATCATTAGGTAAGTCTCAGACTACTGCTACAACTAGTTTAATCACTTCAATTAAATACTAAATACATTTAAATAATTCTTACTCATAATATCATGAGTTTATCAAACACCTTAATTAATAATTAACTAATAAATACTAACATACCAATACTAACTCATAGTCCTACTTACAATAAGCTGCAAACTTATACTTTAAAATTCAATCTCAGTTCCTTAACTCAGACTTATAAACCATGACTTACACATACCCAACAATCTCCAAGTCCATGATCTACACAAAGTGATTCGAATTGACTTCAAACTGTACCATAATCATGGGCTTTCATATATGGGTCATCCATATCAATGAATTATTGGACCTTAAATCTAGCTATATATCTATACGAATGGAGCAACTTTGATAGCAGAACTCATATTCATTTCATATGCCAAAGGTTGTGGATTGATTTGCACTAGTGGTTAAGCAATATGCTAAGAAGGCAAGGATGTAATGATAATGGGCGCAGGGCAAAGTCAAGCAAGAAAAGAAAAGGATGTAACCAAGCAGCAAGGGTAACTAATAAGTGATTACATTTCTCCTATCCAGATCGATCATAATATATATATATATATATGTGTGTGTGTGTGTGTGTGTGTGTACATTATATATGATTTCCTTGTACCAGCTCAATAGGAAATAAATACTTGTATCAGCTCAATAGGAAATAAATACTCCTAAACCGTCCACAAATATATATATATATATATATATATATATATATATATATAATATGATTTCCTATTATGGTAAAAGATCAATTGAATCATATGCTTATGCAGCCTTTGCTACAGCCAACATCATAGCCAAGTATACATGGATACACGTAGTGGTATAAAAGTACATAAATCCTTTCATGCTTAAATAGTACTCAAGATCTAATAGGCATAATCAACATTCCTAATAAGAATTAATTAAACCAAATATTAATAATAAATAGCAGATCACATAATATTATAAACAATAAGACAAAGTAAGAATTAACTTGCCTGCAAATACACTATTCGCTTGAGCAGATACTGTCTTTGCAATAACAGTGAAAAATCCTTAAAATAGCTTGTATATGCAGTAATGCTAAGATGCCTATTAATTTCTATTGAGATACGATAGATAGATATATGCCTAGTGGTTTAGTTCATAAAGAACTCTTTTGAACTTTTAAAATACAGGATAATAGTTTAATTATCTAACTTAAAGATACGTTGAAAAAAAAAACTCTTCTAATATCTCCAATAAACATATCTAATGACAAGTGTGTGTGTGTGTGGCTTTTTTTTATTTTTTATTTTTTATTTTTTTTCTTTCACATGTATTACATTTCTATTAAAGGATACGTTAAAAAACCGGTCAACAACATGACCTAAATTATGTATGTTCTGATATACATAACTCTGCATGGAACAACATGCAACCATTCACATTATATATTCACGGTACAACAACATACAGTCCACATTCACGTTGTAGTATAACGTGGTATACATAAGCCATATTCATAGATAAGTTTCATTCATGCGTAGAAACACTGGTTTTCATAACTAGTTTCCAACAAATTATACTACCTATCTTTGTTCCTATAAGGAGGGACTTGAACTCTCATACGTTTGAAGGGAAGGAATTACCACTTAGCTAGGCTACAATCCATGGTTATTTTAATTCGTTTTTCATAACTAGACTTTCTAAAATTTTCCACGGTGACTTTAATTTCATGAGTCGTGAGGATTTTTTTTTTTTTTTTTCCTTCTTTCTTTCTTAGAGCACGTATATCGGCTTGTGGTTATGGATGTTTTATTATGTTAGAGGAAATTTCAGGAGTGCGGTCCAAAAGCGAGACCTTAAGAACTTACCTTCCGAATCTATGTCCCTAAGAGCAACTCATAAGGACTTGAATGGTCCGATCCATCTTCTATTTTGTAAAATGAGAAAGTACCACTAGATTACCCTAACATACTTAAACATCCCCAATCATTGCTCCACACGCCTCTCATCGACTGAATCTCTAACACATTCAAAGGTTGGGAGGTTGGGATGACTCCGGTACCATACCTTGGGATATTTAATACTCTCTCAATGGGGGAGATAAAAAAGAAAATGGCTGGATTGGTGGACACATTGACAAATTTAAAAACTATTGCAAAATGTTGGATTTGTTTTTTGCAAGGGAATCTTATCCCATCATCATCCCACTAATTTAGGTATCACCAATAGCATGAAACATAAGTGGGGCAAGGTGGTGGGAGAGTTACTGTGCATCGGGATCTGATCAAACATTCAATCTATTCACTCTTATTTGGATTAAATGTAATGTGATGATACCTTGTAACATTCTTCTTTATCCAAACTTGCAATGCAATACTTTTGTTGTCTTCGAGCCACTCTGCCTACCGGGAATGCTGACTCAAAACCTTCCAGGGGGACGTTTGGCATGACACTGAATTAATGATGGGTCTAACTTTAATACTGAATTAATGATTGGTCTGACTCTAATACCAACTTTTTACAAGTCGGTGTCTCGCGCTTCACTATATATTCTCATTCACTTCTCGAGCCGAATCCAATCTAATGTGAAATAAGTTCCCCTTGTAAGAGTTATCCACCTCATTAGTGACTACATGCTTAGGTAATATTTGATAATATTTAAAATTAAGATATAACAAAAACTTATAATATATATAATTATATTTTCTAGTAAATTAATTTATTTTTCAGTAAACTATAATATATTCTTCTTTTATTCCTTCAGAACATCAATTTGATCCTTCATACAAACTCAATGTGGTTAATTTCGATTTTAACAATGGGCATTAGCTCAAACGGTATAATTATCATATATTCTTCTTTTGTTCCTTCGAAACATCAATATGATCCTTCATACAAACTCAACGTGGTTAATTTCTATTTTAGCAATGGGCATTAGTTCAGACAGTATGATCTCATCATCAAATGGAAGACTGAATGTTCAAATCCTGCTACGAAAAATATTGTGGGTGTGTGCATTTGCTTAAACTTTCAGGGGAAAAAAAAAAAATGTAGTTTCTATATTGGCCCCATAATGCATATCCTGGAACAATCTTCTTTTATATATGGGTAGCTTAGGGGTGGCTAGACCCTTAGGCGACTTAGGCGGTTGCCTAAGGCCCCAGCCAATAAGAAAGCCTCAATTTTTTTTTTTTTTTCTTCTTCGTATTATATCATTCCTAAAATTTTTATTTCCTTCCTATTATCACTCAACCACTATAAATACCCCAAAATTTGTATTTCCTTATATTATGACTTTCAAAAAAATTTATTTATTTATAGGGTAAAGTATACTAACACCTCCTGAAGTTTGCTAAAAGGATGAAAGTTACCTATTTTTTAGACAATGACACCCGCTTAAAAAAATTCCATCCAAACAAGGTCTTAAATTATATGAAAAGACAAAATTGCCCCTTACTATTAAATTCAGATTTATTGCAAAATTTCATACCTGTCAAAATGACGCAATTGCCCACTCAAAGTTTAGCGCCACTTGGTGCCAGATTAACAACTCGTAATGCCATAATCTTCTAACCATCTAACCACTGTACCACCAACCAGTATCTTTGTTCTACTTTGGTCTCCACACATCGCAATTTCTCTCTCAACATACTTTTCTCTTTAATATTGATATATATATATCTTTGTTCTGTTTTTTATTTTATTTGTGGATTTGATGAGAAAATCTTCAATCGAAACCTTGATCTTTCTTTAAATCTTTTTGTTAAGTTACAAAAAAAAAAAAAAAAAAATGGTTTATTTATTTTCTTTTACTAAAATGGGGTTTTCTAAATATGGATTTTTTTTTTTTTTTTTTTTTGTTTGTAAAGAAATCTTTGTTCCTGTTTCTGTTGTTTACAAGATGATTGCGGCAAAATGAAAGAATAGAATAAGCAGAAAAGCCCATTACTCCTTCTAAAGGGCAGGACCAGATTAAAGCACATATTGGAACCTGTAGAAATATATATATATATATATATATATATATATATAGTCTATACACCTATTTCAGGGTGTCAATGTTGGTACTCATAAATTGTTCATAAGGGTAGTTTCGTCCAATTTATTAACTTGTAAAGTTAAAAAAGTCCACTAAATGATCAAAGGGCAATTTGGTCAATTTTCCATGTCGATTGGCTTCAAGGGGTGTCTTTGTCCACTTTTCAATCTTTAAAGGGTGTTATTGTTCCAAAAACATATAAGTTCCATCTGAGTGTCCTTTTGGCAAACCTCAGGGGGTGTTAGTGTACTTTACCCTTGTTTATATTATAACATTTCTAAAAATATTATTTCTTTCTTATTATTAAACTTGTCGAATAGAAATGCCCCAAAAAAATTTTTTCCCCTTATATTATAACCTCCTTTATTTGTATCGATTATTAGACCCTAATCAATAGAGATTTAATAGGGGCCAAAAGATTTCTATCTTTTTTTTTTTCTCTCTCTCTCTCAGCCTCCTAATTCAAAAAAAAAAAATATTCTCCGGAATTTATAAAACTTTCCATATTCTTAATTTAACTTTTATCTTCTTTGTTTTTATTTTTTCTCCATAATTTGTAAAACTTTCCCTACCTTATTTTAACTTTTATCTTATTTGTTTTTTTTTTCTTCCTTATTTCTGACATATTTTTCCTCATTTTTCATTAAGTATATGTTGTATAACTCTAAGATTAATTATGTGATAAGAAAGATTAATTGAATTGACTATATATATATTAGATATTAAAAGGCCACTCTTATATATTTTTTTTTACCTAAGGCCTCAAATTATAAAGAGACGCCCTTGGACAAATCACCACTGAAAGACAAAAAAATATTAACAAGCTTGTCATATCTGCGTCTATCAATCATATTTGAATCGAAAGAAATTCTAGAAGAGGATATTTTAGCTCTCAAAATTCTGTTCTTTGGTGAATTTACACATCCATAATAGAAAAACTTATACCTCTAGTTCAAAAGGAGTGCTTAGCTAAGTTTCTTTTCTCAGACCACCTCTATAGCCGCCTGATAGAAATTAGCTTAATTCCTTATCTTCTTAGGATTCTGAGGTCCAGATTCATGTCTGGTAACTCTTATTAAAAACATCAAAATTATAGCCGTTGGAACCGGTAACAACCGTAATCTTATTTTTCCATTTTGGGCTGTACAATTTGGGTAGTAGTCGTAATTTGGGCTTAGGTCAATTTTTTGCTCTTGTTTTGTTTTATACGGGCCGTGCTCCTCCTATTCATGGGCCTATTTAAATTTACACATATTAATATACTTCCTAAAAATTCCCAAAAAAAAAAAAAAATTTACTGAAATATGTATGCTTCCAAATAAAAATACCAATTTCGATCTTTAACTGATAGTTGTGCCAGAGATTGGATCTAATCTTTGTTTTTCTGGGTTGGGAGAGTTAATGGGCAAGGGGAGGGCTACCACTGTTGCGCGGATGGAAACAAGAAGCTAAAAAAACAGTAAACACGCACCACACAATTCCTAACTCTACTTACCAAAAAATTTAAATGAGACCATTATATGCAGCAATTCTAATAGGTTGTATGTACTCATTGGTCAATATTCCAATAAGATTCAATTGTTTTCTTTAAGCCTCTCTCTTTTAATCAGTCCCTTACATCTCCTAAAAGCTCAAACTAAAAATGTATTTGTGTTTTAACGCATAAGTCTTTTAGATTTTACGTGTTGTACTGCTGCAAAATTCAAATGCCCGTCACCTCCTAGACTATTAATGAAGAACGTGGAGAGATTATACTGTCTTTTAGGACTTCATTGAAAAGTAAAAACATCCAACAAATTAATTAACAAAAGTTGCTTTTACAGCACTTGACACCACAAATGACAAGCAATAAAGGAATAGAAAATAGCTAGTAGTTCTTGATGTTAAATATTACATAATTTCCAACTCTAACAAATACCACTAAGCACGATATAAACTAGATGAAAAGGGTTGAAAGTAAGCAAAGCTAGGGCAAAAGACAGAAGTAAAGAGTCCAACATGCCGGTCTCGAGTTGTTCAGCATCATGGCCTATTACACATGGATATTAAGACTTCATTCCTGCATTAATGGATAAGCTGAATGAGTAATATTTCAGTTGCATATAAATATATATATATATATATATATATATATATATATATATATATATATATATATTCAAGAAATTAAATAAAATAAAAAGTGTCTTAGCATTCAAGATAGTGTCCGTATGTGTTCTTACATTTTTGTTGCTCTCAGAGATTGAACCAGTTGGCGAATTTGGGATATACCTAGCCCACTATTATTGAGAAATTAGATTGAATGAACCAAATTAAAAATATAAAAAAGAAAATGATTTTGATTTAGAAATCACATGCATAAAACAAGCTCAGAAGAGAATGTACATTTTTTGCAGCTGCGCTAAAAGCTTCCCGATGTGGTATCTCAGGATTGGCTGCTTTGATACGCTGTATCTCATCCCTTTCAATGTAAAATTTTTAATACATGAGTATAACAATTTAATTATAGTTTTTAGATTCATACTGAACATAACATATGTGTACAAGAACATGACTACCTTCTACTATTAGTACTACTAGGAGTGAAAAAAAAAAAAATATCAATCATATATAGTATAGATAGTTTTCTCACTTCATGAATCGATTATAAGCTGATGGAAGTCTGTGCTTCTTCTCTGGTGCTGCGAAAAATCAAACATAAAATCACAAGTTATGAGGAGTGTTTAATTTTTTTTTTAACTAGATAACGGTACAAAGTACGTGTTGAGGAATATCTACGTTTGACAACAAAGGGTGGTCGTGGGGACAACGGCTCGCTGGATGTTGATGAAGATGATGATGATGAAGACTGGCCCTTCTTGATTTCACAGCAAAAACCCTATCCATACATGGAATAGGCACCATTTAGTTATTAGAAATCAAATTTACTTCAATTCTTTGTTCTTTTCTTTTCTTGTTTTGGTGCATAACAATATGATGTATATGTAGGTATATGATTCTTCAATATTCCAAGCCACTCAGTCTACTCAGATTATCAGAGTGGAGAGATAACCTGAAGATTTGTTTGATGATGATCAAGAAATTGGCCTTGCAGTGGAGGCCTTGTGCTAAGAAAGGAGAGGTTGCTGCAATGCCCACATTTCACTGTCACTGTGTCCAACAACCTCTTAAATGGAATCCCAACCTATGAAACAGAGAGAGATGTATAAAGTGATCTTCCACATTCCATAATTGATTTACAACTCAAGAAGCTAGCTAGAAAAATTAAATTAAAAAAAAATACTATTCTGCTTGCAAAATTTAAGCTGAACTTCAAATTAAGAATAGGTTCACTATTGTATAATACAAAGAATTAAAATAAAAAATAAGAAGAAGAAGAAGAAGAAGAAGAAGATAAAAGAAAAGAAGGAAGTCAAACTCTAGCATCAGATTTGAAATGGGCTTTTCTAAATACATATTTATGCTATAGTTCTGTTCATGAAAAGGAAACTTCATATATACGTGTATGTGTGTATTTACACACTTAAATGTTGACCATTTCTTTCTTTATATGCCTTGCCCTATCTAGAAAAGGCACTGAAGTGATAGTTCTGATTGAGATAGATATGAATGATAGTTGAAGAGATATGTTTAGGAGACCTGTACATGTCTGCGTGTATATATGTATATATATGCACATATATTTGCTGCTTTCTATAGGAAACCAGGTCATGAATATAGATTGAAAAGGGTTTATATGAAAAGGGTTTGTATGTATATTACCGCAAGAACAGTGTTGCAAAAATTGCAGCGGACGTAGCATAGATGCTCAGATGGTGGAGCCAAATCCATGGAGAGTTTATCTTGAAAGTTCATATATAGATCAGGAAGAAGAAGAAGAAGAAGAAGAAGAAGAGGAAGAAGAAGAAGAATAAGAAGAAGAAGAGAGGTTTTAAACTTTGAAGTGTTTGCTTAAAAGGTCACAAAGTAAATGTAGGGATATATGATATATATGTGTATGTATATCAACTGGGGTAATGGTTGGATTGGAGTACTGTAGGAGAAAGAAAATTTGGATTACTTATACTGATCCATAGTACCATTTTTCAAATACAGACAATTGAGTTGCATGGCCATTTGATATATCTAGAGTCGAGACAGATAGATAGAGACAAATTCATATGGTGAGAAAATGGAGATTCACACACAAACAGTAGCTTGGAAACAAATTTAGATGGCATGGTTATTTTATCTACTTCTAGTTTCCCACGTACTCTGTTCAATCAATTCACTTCCTTCAACCGATTGGACCCTCCTTAATTGGGGTCCCACCATAGCCAGAAAAATGGTTTGCATAAACCATAGACCATGATGATCTTGTGGTCAAGATGATCACAGTATGCAGAGAGGTGTTGAAGCAATCACAGTAGGTCTCATGATATACATTTATATTTCTACAAATATTATTTTGGATGAATTATAGTGTATTGATTTTCTATAAGATTAGTATATAAACCGCTTTTAGATAATTCTTGTGAAATCATAAACATTACATTCCATTTTATTCTAGTCATGATATTAGACACCGGGATTAATCTATGTTAAAAGGTCATGTGATCTGTAGGCCGGCTGCTGATAAGAAATAACTTTTCTAAATAAAAAGGAAAGATTGCATTTATCTGACCCTCTTCAATTTCTACAATAACTAAAGTCTCAAGTCTCAGTGCACTGAATTTTGTCCTTTATTAATCCATGTTAAGAGGGCCCGTATGAAACAAAGGGTTCTTCAAATGTTATTTATATATTATACTCTTTATAGGTTTCCTTTGTCACGTATTAATTACCATATGCTAATGCACACATTGATTGTCTAATATGGGCTGGTACTTGCAAATGTAAATTATGTAATATATAAAGTACATCACCAAACTACACCTAGATGAGGTGTAGCGTTCGATACAGTACAATACTTATACTACATTGTAGAAGAGTCTGGCTCCGTAATTTTTCTCTCTGGCATATTTTCGTAATTGTTGGACTTCTTGTCACTTACATCTCATTTAATCAAGCTTAGTCCTATGGCATACATGCATACAGTTTGAGTCTGGCAACAGCTAATAGTGGGGACTGGGGAGATTAGAGTAGTACATAGGAGGGGAGACAAAAAGTAACCAGTTGGCTTCTTTGTAACCATCTTGTAAAACTTTCAAAATCTTCACTCGAACTTGATCCCATTGCTTTCTATATGTTTGCGGTAAATCATACAAAAAGTGTACCAAAAAGCCATTAACTAGATGGAACAATAAATTGCTTTGATCTATACGGCACCAAACACAGACTAAATGAAACATATATGTGAAAAAGTGTTAGCTATGCATGCAAGTTACTTGCTAGTTCAGGGCAAGCACAATTAATAGACTACAGTACACAACTTTGTCTAGTGCTATTGCAAACCTAACCTAGCTCTCATTTCCCACCCCATAACCGTAATCAGTTCTAACTTATCAATATTATTATTACAACTTTGCATTAGCTAGATTATTGAGAATTTACATGAAACTCAAGTTTCATCAAGAGAGAGATAGAAACCATCTACTCAATGATGAAAAATGTATAACTAACTTCATCTTAGGACATTATCATCTTTTGATCTATGTAATTGTGCCCTACTAGCTAGTAAGTGTCATTAGAATCAAATATTATTCCCTATATTTACTCATGATTTTGCATTATTGTAGAAAGAAGTTACACGAATTTCAAGTTTCATCTAGCCATGTCTAATTAATTAATCAAAAGAGTAGGTCTGACATAAGGCAAGGGAGCTCTCATTGTATTGGATTGAGAATTTCTATCAATCTAACGAAAGAGTTGACATGGTGAACAGAATGTCCCTACAATGGATTTCTCCTAAGCAAATTGGAGAACTAGCTAGCTCCATCTTAAACGGTCTACCTATCTAATCAAATGTCATTAGAATCAAAAGGTGAAAATGGAAGTACATTCGGATCTCACATTTGGTGAGTTCCAAATCAAGACCTAATTAAGGAGAGTATTCCCAAAAGCCTCGAGTCTCAAATATAAGACCTAAGGGATTACTCACAAAAGTCTTTGGATATACTTAGTTTGTCACTCAGAAGACGAAAACCTGTTTTTAGATAATTATAAATAGCAATTCCATGGAGTTTTCATAAAATAGTAATTAGAAACTGTCAATCAAAAACTGGAAGCAAACTTTTTTTTAAACTAATTTTCATAAAACAGTAATCAAAAACTGTCAAAAAACTGAACCAAACATGCCTTCAGAAATAAAAAAGAAAATTACATTCCTATTTAAAAGGGAAAAAAAATTGATCATGCAAGTGTGGGAATGATAATTTACACCCATTAAATTCACATGAAAAATGGATTCAAACCACGCATGCATGAGTTTGTAACATTAATTGTTGAAAACAATAGTAACGACTAGAAAAATAGTGGGTCCAAAATATCAAAAAGAAGTTGAAGGAAATGGACAAACATTAAAGATGGTGAAGGAAGAGAGTTGTGGGTGGTGGTGCTGTCATCTACTACACTTTTGTGGGTGGCAATGTCAAATGAAGAAAGCTGAAAATGACAGGTCCCAAAATCACATGTCACTTTCAGAGTGAGTGCATGTATAAAGGAGGGAGGGTATGTGTCTTTTGTTGATGGGACTATTCCTAGATTGCCAAACATGGAAATAACCTATTTCTACACTTGGTTTCTACAACTTTCTCTGCTCGTATAAAACTACTTTCCCAATGAGTTTCTCTCTCTCTCTTTTTTTTTCCACCATTGATGCCTGTGATTACCACGGGATTCATGTCTTCCTCGAACCTTACCACGCCCATCCACACACACATCTACACACACTCATCTTCTCTTGTTCACCGTGCTTTGATCATTAACGGATTTGGACATAATCATTAGATCTATGCCACCCTCTTCTCCTATCTATATGAGGAATTCTTGATTAGACATGTCTCTACTGAGTTTCTTGTCCTGGATTCTGTGTGTGTGATGCATATGCATATTTTCCGGGCTATAACTTGGGTGGGTTGGGTACAACTCGGGTTCAACCCGATATGTGAAATTTTCATGAATCTTAATTTAATTCTAACTTGGTCTCCAACCTTATATATTCAATCTCAGTTGGATAGATTCTTCAAATTTTAAACTGGAGTTTTCAACTTGGGTTGAGATTTGAAGTTAGAAAGTTGGGGTAATTTGAGTTGCTTATATGACTAATCTTCATATTAAAAATTCAATGTTATTTTGAGTTAGTTTCACATTGGATTAATTTTAAGCATATTTAAAAAATAATAATAATAAGGCAAATTTCTAAATAAAATTACGAACAAATTCATAGGACATTAATTCTCCAGAGTGTTAACAATGATTTAAACAAAGGAAGTTACATAGAAAAAGGTGATCATAATTTGAATATTCTATTATATATGGTATATATATATATATAACTAAAATTAGAATTTAGGTTGGGTTGGGTTGCTCGCAACTCTACGCTCTACCCTAATTAAGTTTGGATTGAGATTTTTCAATTCATGCCTAACACTAATTGTAAAAAATGATTGTTCAACATCGTAAAAAATCGGTTTAGGCTCAGATTGGTATCAAGTTGACCCGCTTGAGTTGCATCCCTATAAATAATACATATGATCAGTAATGGGTGGGTTGGTTTTAAATTTTAGGGAAAAAGTGATCATTCACATGTATGGTAATTCCACACTTATATATATTTGTAACTTTCTTTGTTAACTGTGCTGATTAATCACTATATGTGATGTTAAAGACAAATAGCATTTTAATGAGATGTTAGTTGAAAATAGATTGGCAGTTTCATGCGTAATTAATGAATTAACAGAACTTAGAAAATTAAATTTTTAGAATATTGAAACGTTGATTGTTGTTCTGTTTATGTTTGAGTATAGAATCAATGTGGTAATATTGTTGTTTAATTCATTATGGGTGATAGGCATGCATATGTGTATAGTATGTAATATATACATATATATATATATAGATATATAATTAAATGAAAACCTGATAAGGAAGAAAGAAGGGATCTGTTATTGACGAAATTCTACATGCATTGAATGAATAGAATTTGTGAAGGAATATAATTCTACCCTGTATACAGAATCAATAGTCATGAACTTAATTAATGTTAATATAGAATGTTGGGTCAATTAGATGTTGGAATGAAATAGTGGTTTTGGTTAGATATGGGTTTACTTAATTGGGAAAGAAGAATTCAATTTTTGGGTTACTACATTGTCATTGTAGGGCTTGGTATGTGAGGAAGAGTCAAGCCCATGTTGAATTTAATGTTAGTCAACACTAGGCCCAATCTGGGAAGCTACATTCGGGCCCAACTGAATTAGAAGTATTTCTTTTAAAATTCTTTTTTCTTATTAGTTTTAACTTAGAATAATTAAGGAAAAATATTTTAAACGTTTCAAAAATTATTATATTTTCCAGAATATTATATTTTTGCATAATGAATCTACTTTTGTTTAAAATCCATATTTTAAATGTTATTGGGTAAGTTTACCAAATTAAACCTTAAAAAAAATATTATTTCTCAACACTAAAAGGGAGAGTACGGAAAAACTATTAGGATATAAATTCTGAAATTTTGCAGGGTATTTTACCTAATGTTAGGCTATGTCCAGAAATTTTGTACTCTCACTAGTTGGATCTTTAGGGTTCCGGTTTCAAATTAAAATGATATTTGGGTGCATTAACTATTAATTTGAATTATTAATTAATGATATCTTTCATAATTCACTATAATTAATAATGATGAGTTTGGATTAGTTGGAGGGCAGTCAGGGACTGACCCTATGATGACTCTTGGATATGGTCAAGGACCTACCTATTTGGGAGTGCATTACCCCATTTATTATGGCCATGGGTCTAATGAACCCTTATTGTGTGGACGTGATCAGGGATCATCTGGGGAGTAGACGTACAATCCAGCCACACGTGTGTTTTTGGTAGTCAAGGACTATACGATTCACACCATTTTATTGGACGGGAGCCCGGGGCTCATGTGAGATATGCCGATTTATTAAAAAATAAAAGATGGTTATTTATTAAGTTTATAATTAACTGGGTTATACACATTTGAATAATGAACTTATTTGAGTTGCTTATATATACAGGAATATAAGGTAAGGTTAATTTGTTGAACGATGATTGTGTTTAGCATTTATTGCTGAGCTTGTAAGCTCACCCCATTATCACATTTCAGGTACACGTTGAGTAGGAACGTGATGGGATTACATGATGGTGATGGATTTTGGCTTGTTTGTCGCATTCCTTGGTTTAGTTCAATTTTCGCATTGTAATAAAAATGACGATATTTTTTTTTGAGAGTTAGTTTATTTTGTCCAATTATCATGGATTATTTTTGACAAGGTTGTTTGATATTATGGTTGTATCGATTTAATAAATTAGAGGGTGGTTTACATCCACTTCTTTATTTAATTATTTTTATTGTAAGGTTGTGGTTGTGTAAAGAAAGTCATGCCAAATCTTAATACGAGACAAGAGTTCATGTATTTAGGATTTTGGGGCGTGACAGTTTGGTATCAGAGCCTGACCCAGCCGGAAGTGTGCCGACAGGGACGTCGGGCCTCCAAGGGGGGTGGATTGTGATGACCTTGTAGGTGGGTGTGCCGTGGGCGGGTGCAAGAAACACTGTCAGGCTACCACATTGGCGAGCTACGAGTGCACAAGTCCCACATCGCCTGAGTAGAAGAAAGGTGAAGTGCTTATATGTAAGTGTATCACCTCCAATTGGTATGAGGCCTTTTGGGGTGAAATCCAAGAGTAAAACCGTGTGGGTTCAGACCCAAGGCGGACAATATCATTCCATATGGTGGAGCGAGTAACGAAAAAAATTAAAATTTGGTCAAATAAAGAGCGGCCTCCAGAACGCTTGTATACTTTGTATGCTATTTAATTTGTGTGTATAAAATACTTTTTAATATTTGTATGTATGCTAAAGGCCATTATATAATTGTGAAATAATAAAAATGTAATTTTATAAATACTAGAAAACGTGTTTGAGGTATAAGCAGCTTTATTTATGAAGATACATGATGTTATTAATAATTAAGATACAAAAATTATAGAATATATTTATTTTTTTTTTTAAGGAAATGCCACTTGAAATCATTATTTTAAACAAT